CCTCAGCCGCGTGGCCGCAGACCAAGCTGCTCTTTCTGCCTATTGCAGAGAGCCCCGCTCCCATCTCCTCTGGTCGGAGCCGAGGCGAACGGTTAGCCACGCGGCCTAATACCTCGTACTTCTCGGGGGCAACGATAGGGGGGGGGGGAGGCACAGGGGGGGATGCATCGACCACTAATCGCCCATTGATCGCCGATAGGGGCCCGATAGCCCCAACCTGCCCAGGAAGGTGCGGACTCACTATCGGAGGCCCAGCGCCGCTCTGTCGGCGATGTGTCGCCGATTCCATGTCGATGTTCCCCCACCGTGCCTGTCCCCCCCGATCAGGGCAGGGCAGGAAGAAGCCGCGCCTAGACGGCGCATCGGCAGAGCATGACAGACTACAGAAGGCCAGGAAATGTCATGCGGGGACAATTCCGAGCTGAATACAAAGGCGCCAGAACGCAGCCACTGCATATCAACTGCCGAGGAAAGAGAAATCAGCCCCTCATCGAGCCAGGTCCCTCCCGATTGTTGCCCCTCAACTTCCGAGGAAGAAAAAGCAGCACGCAGCACACATCCGCGGAGGCCCGCGCGGAGTTCAAAAAAGGCGCCATACACTGAAACTGTTGGCGCTCCGCGCGGGGATTTCTTGGATCCACGCTGCCCCCACCCACCCCTTCGGCGGCGCCTCCGGCGCCGCCCCCGGGCGCGCGCTCCGCGCGCCCGGGGGGGGGTTCCAGCGCGGATCCAAGAGATCCACGCGGAGCGCCAACAGTTTATGTTTTCAATAGTTTTGTTCTAAAGACATCCGCTCGGACCCCCAAGAGTTGTTGTTCGTGCCGCCTTTTGTTCCTCCTCGTTTGCGGAGGGCCTGGCTCCTGTCTCCCATGGTCGGAGCCAAGGCGACGGTCGAGGCTCGAAAGCGCAGGCGTGTGCCGCAGAGACGGGTGCTGCACACTGAGGTTCGTGTGTTTTAATGCAGCAGTCTCCCAGGCGACAGCACATTGCCAGCGAAGTGTTTAAGCTTTAATTGATTTGAATGAGTTTAAGAATGCACCGCGTGCTACTGATAGGTGTCTACGCCTTCCCGACGACGATGTCCGTCTTGGAGAATGCAGGCGCTGTTTGTGCACGACACAAGACATGTGTCGATGCATCATCAGGTTTTGGGTACAGCACGCGCAATTCGTGAGTTACTGGTGGGGATGCCGATGGGGACTTGCGAACGGAGAGAACACGGCGCACACGGGCAGTGAAGTGAGTACGTACGGAAACCAGATGCACCTTACGAAGCATGTCGTTTGATCATTATATAGTTTGCTCTGTTGCGCTGCCCCTCGTACGACAGTGAGGACATCGACGAGAGTATCATGCCTGCCCAGACAGGGGCTGGATTCATAAAGACAAGGTGAAGGCACACCAGTAAGAGGGGGAGGAGGGAGGAAGAGGAGGAGGAGGGGGAGGAGGGGGAGGAGGAGGAGGAGGAGGAGGAGAAGGAGGAGGAGGAGGAGGAGGAAGACGTAGAGAAGAAGCGAATGTAGACGGACGAGCATCCTCGTGCGAATCAGCACTGGTAGCCCCGACGACGAGAGATGTGCTCGATGGTGTCTGTGATGCTGATCGTGGAGATCGTGCTGGTGACGGTGGTGAAGGTGCTGATGCCGACGGTTCTGCGGACGCTGGCTCGGCGAAGCTTCGCGGGCGCCTCGGCCAGTCGGGCGCGCCGCGGCAGCCTGACAGGGCCAGCCTGAAGTCGAGCTTGCCCCTCTACAGGAGGAATACTCAAAACTACTAAAAAATTGCCTGGGGACTATTTTTTGATTATTGTTGAACTATTTCGGAGCATTTTGGGGGTTTATTTTTTTCGTCCAAAATCCGCCTGTAGGGGGACACGCCCGACTTAAGGCCAGCCCGTGGGGGTGCCGGAACCCAACACGTGGCGCTGGCTCGGGGCTCAAGAGACGGGGGTCAGTGCAAACGGGGGTCAGCCAGAGCGCCGGATCTTGCAGGGTCCTGCAGGGCCACGTTCGCATTGACCCGGGCTTGGGCGCCGGATCCTGCAGGAGCTTGCAGACTCCTCCGCATCGACCCGGGCTTGGGCGCAGGATCCTGCAGGATCTTGCAGGGTTCTGCAAGGCCTGACTGGCCCGGGTCAGCAGATCTCAGCCACGCGCAGAGGGGGGTGGGGGGAGGGGGGAGGGTTTGTTAGAAGCACCTCTGCTTCTTAGAAGGCGCGGGCCTGATCTACAGATGTAAGGCCGGCGCCTACTGAGAAGCAGCCTCCTTCTAAGAAGCCCTCCCCCCTCCCTCCGCCCCCTTGTGCGCACCGCCAAGGGTCGACTACACGTAAGAGTGACCTTTCGCCAGAGTGACCTTTGGTGCGGGCCCATTGGGGTCCCCCGATCGCCGAGCGCGATGCGATAACTAGTAGAGTCTTGCGCGCTTGTGTTCGACCCCTTCCGCGGCCCCCCAAGAAGCCGCGCACCAAAGGCCACTCTTGCCCAGGGCCACTCTTGCGCGTGGCCGAAAGGGTCAGCAGATCCCCGCCTGGCTTCGAGCTGCGGGGCCCGGGTCGGGGCCACGCGAGGGGGGGCGGGGCAGGCCCGGGGGGAGAGGCAGCGCCCTCCAAGCGCTCCTTTCGGGGAAACGTGAGGCTTGAGTGAGCCAGAGCTCGGGCTCGTCGATGTTTTTGTTGGACGACCGAGCAGTGTCTCTGGGTGGAGGGCCAAGGGTGGAACCCGAAATGCCGTTTCGATGGATTGTCGAGGCGTGAACTTGCCAAAGGTGAATCACAAGACGAATGGATGTTCGAGGTGCAGAGGCCCATCATGGATTTCACCCTGAGCCCTCCACCCTAAGAAAATGCTCAGGACGAGCGCGTCCTGGATTTTGACGGCCCAGTGTTCGTGTGATGTTTGCAGTGGGAGCTCGCGTCAAATTTCAGACTGAGTCTCGTCATTTTTATGATGGAACCTTCAGGCCAACCCGAGTCCCCCGTACCCGAGTCTTACGTCTCCCCGATCATTGATCGCCGAGAGTGGTCCGACAGCCCCATGCGGCCCAGGAGCGCGCGGATTCGCTCTCTGGGGCGGCCTATCGCCGGTCTATCGGCGATGTATTGCCGATTCCAGGGCGATGTTTTTCCCCGGAGCCAGTCCTTTGGTAGCAAGTCATGGGAGCCTGGTATACCCTCTCAATTCCGCCTTTCGCGTCGACTAGCGTCGATTAGCTTCTAGAATCGATTAGATAGCGCCGAGTCAGCGTCGGTTAGCGTCGACTCAGCGTGAACTAGCGTCGATGTAGCGTCGATCAGCGATTCACAAGAGCCGACAAGATGGTATGGGAGGCTCCAATGAGTTGCCACCGTACAGTCCCCCGATCGTTGCCCCTCACTGGGGCGAGGAGGGCGGAACACCACATCGCCACAAGCTTGGAGCTTCCGCGGACACCGAAGCGCGCGCTCGGCGCAGGGAGGGTGTCCGGCGCTGGCGGAGAAGCAGTCCGCGAGCGTCCGAAGTTTACGGTGGGCGAGGACGCGAGCAGGGATCACCGCGTCTGAGGCGTACCTTTTCCACCCCCCACCCTCACGTAGACTACCCACCTGACGTATCGCCCGGACCTCGGTGAAGCCGAGTCGGGCCCGCGCGGAAGGGGCGCGACACCTGCAAATTCTGGCGATGCGACTGTCTCGGACTGATGCTCCTGCTCGCGCGTGGGCCACATCTCTGATTGTAAATGTTGCTCTCACCCAGGCTTGAGTCGGGCACGTCCCTCTACAGGAGGAATAGTCTGGGGACGATGTTTCTTCTGTTGTTGGCTCTTTTTGCATATGTGTTGACTATGTTTGACTGTTCGTCCAAAACCCGCCTGCAGGAGGATATGCCCGACCTAAGCCTAGGCGCCGGTGACATCCTTCAATTGAGCGTGTTGTTCTCGCCTGTGCGTTTGGACGACGTCCTCCGAGGCGGGGGGCGAGACGCAGCAAAGGCCCCCAGGGATCGCTGAGGGGGGCTTCTCCACATTCCTCCTCCTCCTCCTCCTTATCCTTTCCTCCTCCTCCTCCTCCTCGTCCTCCTCCTCCTCCTCGTCCTCCTCCTCGTCCTCCTCCTCATCCTTTCCTGGGGGGGGGTGAGGGCGGGCCCCAGGAGGGGGGAAGCAGTACGTAGAAGTGCCGCTCAGGCATCAGCCTGCCGGCCTCGGGCGTCTGAGCGGTGTCCGATCCACAGGCAGGTCGCACCCTGTCGCGTGTGTGGCCTCACTGGCCCCCCACTCGGTCCATCATCATGTTGCACAGAATCCGCATCCGTGTTGATCTTACAGCACGCATGGGCTTTGCTTACACTACTGGCGGGAGACTTCGCAACCGTTGTGGTGCTTGCAGCGCTCGCTCGTAAGCAGGCCGCAGTGTGACGGTAGCGCATCTTCATGTGTAGCGCAGCTGATCGGCCGTGTTGAGAGGCTCTACTGTTCCAGAAACGATCGTACTGTTTGGTGGTCATTTCGGTCCGTCGGGCCGGGGGAACTGGACAGAGCTTGAACGCTCTCCGCATTCTTGCTTGGTAGGTGGAGGTGTTCGGGACATACATGCGCAATGGGACGCCGCCTGCCGCGGTGGAGTTTCGACTTGAGAATCCCGATGTGCTGTTTCGACGCCTTAAGCGTTTTCAAAGAGGACAATGGTATTGATGATAACAACCAGTATAGTGATACCCAGCTTGTTTTTCATCAGCACCAGCATAACAAGTAACATAATGCGAACCATATGAATAATAGTGCTTGCATTACTAACACGGCAAAACATAATAGCAACCATAGCCACTTTGATAATAGTATTAAAACTAGTACGAGTACTCGCACTAATGCTAATACAACAAATACGAGTAATGCGAAGGTCAGGGCGATTGTAACCACAGTGATGCTGATGACCGTGGCCGAAGAAACTTAGCATAACCGCCGGCGGGGGCCCTGCACCAGGGCGAGCCGGGAATACGGGGAGTGGGGAGGGGTCCTTGGCTTTT